CAGCAGTGGGACGGAGTACATCACATGTTTATGCTGACCCTTGCTCCTTCCCCTCCCCAGAGATGATACTGACTTTCACATCTTTCAGATGCCAGTCGCATGGCAAGGGCATAAAAAACCTGTGTTTATTTCGCATGGGCGTCCACAGCTTAAAAACAGGAAAATGCTTGCAAGAGGGAGTCACAGCCAACGACACTTTGCCCAGGATCCTGTGGCTCTGTGCCACCCTTCCTATGCTCTTCCCATCCTCTTGGTGTCCCAAGCCCATCACCAGTCCTAGAGGCCAAGGGCCTAACTGAATAGGCTAGGAAACTCAAGGGCTTTCTGGGCATCCTCAGAACCACTCAGCCTGGAAGCTTGTTTCATGGGGTCTGCCAGGCGTTTGGTTTCAAAGCAGGAGTCTCTTCCCTGCTAGAGAGCAGATGCTACTGTGGGGTTTCCCGGCTGCTACTTGTGGGTCATCACAGTTCAGCCTGGTGGGCATCCCATGGAGCAGGTGATTTCACTTCAGTTTACAAGTGCAGAACTGTGCCAGCAGAGCTGGGACTTTGGCCAGTATCTCCTCACAGAGTGAAGTTTCAGTACAGAGTTTGAGGACAGTAATGTGCCCATTCCTCTCAGAGACTCAGCTTCTCATCAGAGTGCCTCTAGAGCCTGATATTTAGGAGTTCCCATCTCAGAGACTGTCCTCAGTAATATTATTGGCCTTGCCCAGTGACTGTCCCCTGAGATGAATAACTCCAGTCAGGAGGAGCCAGACCCCTCCATGCCGTGCCCAGGCCCACTGTTCCCCGCTAGGTCCTGCTCTTGTATGGGGTAAAACTTTGCTTCTGGACAGTTTGAAGTAGAAACCCTTGCTTGTTGGCTGTATGAGGAATCAGGCGAACAGACACGGTGTGCTCAGCGCTAAGCCAGGCACCAGAGAAGGGAAGTGGGGCCTATCCTACAGGTACTTGCTGTCCAGGTGGGGACACAGTGGGGCACAGGTTGTCTTAGCCTCTGCACAGGACTGTCCAGACTGTTGCTAGAGTGTCTGGCTTTAAAAATGCTTGATATAAATTTATCTTTTGTATTAAGTCTAGGTGGCAAGAAAGATTATATAGACAGCGGGGCAGAGGAAAATGGCTTCCCTCCAGCTCCTTTGGCTAGGCTATGAATTAAACTGACATAAGACAGATTAACAGGAAAAAAACACAGGAGTCCCACAAAATCTGAGGTTTGAAGAGGGACTAGATAGTGGAAGCTTAAAAGAATCCTGAGCAACAGAAAGGAAAGGAGTTTGGGGGTTCCAGAGGTGGTCAAGACAAGTTAGGAGAAGATGAGGGGAGGGAATGTGTGGTGAAAAAGATCATCTTGTTACAGGGATAAAAGTCTCTTGGAATGAATGTTGTCAGGAGTGGACCTCTTCCTTATAGATACAGCGACTAATGTAGATTTTCCTTATAAACGTAAGCTCTTTTTATAAAAGGGCAGCTTTTCAGAGCTATTCCTGCGTCTATAGTTTCTCAGAATAACCAGTCCAAAATATGCCAAAATATATTTGGGGGTGGCATTTGCTGGTCCTCTAAAGTCATATTCTGGGATGGTGTGTCCTAAGCCCCAATAGCATGTACATAAAAGTATAATAATTAAGTGGTAACTGGACATAGTCCCAGACATTCAGAGGAAGACAGGATGGGTCACATCGGGACTTTAAAACCACTGGATTAAAAGTCTCAGAATCCTTTATTCAGGTGACATTTTAGACCCATTTGGTATGTGAGGTTGGTAAGCAAGGGGCTGGGCTGCATGAAGTGGGGTGCTCCTGCTAGCGCTCTGTGTTCCCTGCCCCCACTGCCAGCAGCTTCCCCACACCCTGCCTAGGAAGCACCGTGTTCTGGCGAGGCTGTGGCCACAGCTCTGACTCCTCCTGTTGTGGGGGCCCAGAGCATCTCCCATTAGCCATGATGGCATGCCAGGGCTCCCTCAGGCTTTCTGAGAACTGGGCCAAGAGTGTGTGGGTGGGCATGATGAAGAGGGGGCTCTGTGCTTCTTAGCCAGAAGAGCAGCTGAGTGGCTCCTTCTGTGGGAGTGGTTTGCAGATCCCTGCTGAGCGGGGGAAAGTCGGCAGTGAAATAGAAGCTAGCTGGCAGGAGTACAGGTAACCACATCCTGACTTAGGGCAGACTGTCTTGGAGGGGGGTGCCCAACCCCCATAGGAACACACAGAAAGTCAGAGCATGGCAGCAGAGGGCATGACATGGAGCACGTCCTGAGCTTTGGGGAGCTGCTATACTCACGTGATCAGCACACACGTGCCCAGAGTCATGTGAGGAGTGGCAGGAATGCAAGGTGGAACCAGAACAGGAAGGCTATGAAGGCCACACAGAAGCGTTTGGATGGCAGGTGTGGACATCCTCGGCAGGGCTCTTGGTGGAGGAAGATCCCTCTGGCGGTGCTCAATTGCCAGACCACAGAACTCTCAGGAGCTAATGTGGAGCCTCCCAAGACCTGGGAGTGAAGGATCAGACCAACAGTGACTGTTTGATCACTTGCCCCAGCCTAGAAAGGATGTGGCTGGATTGAGAAATTCTGCTCTGGGCCACTCACTCTAATGGAATGTCAGTGGCTACAAAAATACAGCCTGGGTTGGTAGAAGCTACTATAATGCCAGCTCAGCTTTTGGCCACTTCTGCTCCAAGCACATGGTGTGGTCAGGTCTTCCATGTACCCTCCCTGATCCTCAGAGATGCAGGAAGTAGCACTGAGAAGGGAGCTCTAGCAGAGGGAATTGTACTAGAGGAGGGGTCTGCTGAGAGCCAAGGGATGCTGCAGGGCTGGCCCGCCCAGAAGCTGTCCCTGGGAACCTGCCCAACCCAGGGGACTCTGCTACCCTGGCTGCCTGCATGGGGGTGCTTTTCTGCCTCATCAAACACCTACTGTTCCAACCTGCCGCTCTTGCCACACCTCATACTCCTCCTGTCCCCTACTCTCAACCCAACCCCACCCCACCCTGCTTTCCACCAGCTCTAGTAAGACCCCTTCTCTGTTCTCTCTTTGCACTGAATCTGATCTAGAAATACAGTCCTTGATTCTCTGGGCAATTTATTATTTATAGCACTCTAATTGTTCCTTTGAAGATAGGCATTGTGAGTTCTTCATATTACCAAAAGCAAAGGCTCCTAATCCTTATGGAGTGTTGGACCCTTGGCGAGTCTGGAAAGGAGAGCAGGGGTGGTAGGCCTGGTACCTGAGGCTACACCCCAGGTCAGCCCTGCTCGGTCATGTTCCAGGCCCAGCCTTCCACCCTGGGGGGCCTCTGCCCTCAGGGCCTTATGGGCTATCTGGATGGTCATTAGTTGAAGTTCCAAGAAGGGTACAGGCCAACCTGAGAGGGTGGAATCTAAAGTCAGGTTGGGCAGGGGGCAAAGTTGAAAGGAAGAGCCACATCAGGAAAGCTGTGTGAGGGGCAGGGAAGGCATTTTTGAGGAATAGTGAGGAGGAAAAATAATACCTGTCCAGGAACTCCCTCCTCTGAAGAGATGACTGGGGAAATTCCCCCTACTTCATTCTCTACCAAAAAGTCACAACCTAACAGAAACAGGTGAGAAAAGAAAGGAGCAGAGTATGGACGTCAAAGTTCTTTATGAGGCTGGAGGCCCAGGTCTTGGGACAGAGGACAGGGAGGCCAGGACCCAACAAAGGGGGCAGGTCAGAGGAGCAGCCCCCTGGTGTAGGCCTGGCATCCCTGAGAGACACCTGCCCCCCCAAGCCTGGGAGATCAGGGTGAGGCCCCCAGATGGGGAAAGACTATGTGCCACCCTTGGATGGGCCAGTAGAACCTCAAGGCAGTGGTCACCTGGGGGGTCTGGCACTCATGTGGTTTATGCAGCAGCAATGCCGTGGATCCAGGAGCCTTACTCCTTAGTGATGAGAACTGGAAGCCACAGCCTTGATAGGCTCTGCAGGTGACCCAGGCAGCCTGTGTGCATTAGGACTGCTGGTAGTACCAGCGAGGAATATTGTCCTTGCATACTGGTTGCTAAATAGCCACTGCCTGGACCCCTCCACCAGTACCCTCAGACCTCCTAGAAGCTGAAGGGCCAACACCTGGCACAGCAGAGCCTCAGGGCCCTAACCCAGTCCTTGGCGAGCAGGGGTTATCATTGGTCTGTGTGATATCTTTTGGTTGTCCCTACCTCCTCATGGGACCAACCCCTCCTTCCCAGCCATTAGAAGTGCCACATTCCCACACTTTCCTTACTTCAGAGGACTTCAGCTTTTCAGGGTGAAAGAAATTCTAAAGTTGCTTTCTCTCATTGCACAGTAACTGTTCCTAAATGGCGATTTGAATAGGGTTTCATGTTGCTTTAATCCTATCAATTATATAAGGGAAGCTAGCTATTTTGGGAAATTCAAGTTTGATAAAGTATAACACCATCTTCCTCATGTATCCAGGGTCAGGAAGCAAAGTTTGCAATTTCATTTAGAAGTTAACAGGGCACCTATTGTGTGCTATCAAGGTAGAAAGCAGAGCTCTGCCTGGGTGACCTTTTCACCCTTCCCTTGCTTAACCTCACCCACGGATTCAAAGTGACTTTCTGGGAAGGTCTCTTATCCAAGGCCCATCCTGGGCCCTGAGGGGCATTTAAATATAAAGGCTGACCACACATTAGAGAGGACAAAGGACGCTGCTTAGCTGAGGATGTGGGTAGGAAGAGCAAGCCAAGAGCAGCAATCACCCTTGACACTGCTTCCGAGGTGGGTGATTTAGTGTTTGGTCACTGGACACGTGGATGACAGTGACAAGTGCAGGAGAGTGCTTCATGCTTTGGCAGCCAAAATGGAGAGAAACTGAGGCATAGGAAGAAAGCAAGCGGTCCGCAGATGCTGCCACACTCATGGCACTCTCCCTCCTATGTGCTGGGGAGGGCCGCAGATGGAGGGTGCCACGCTGGGGCAGAGTTCCCAGATGAGAAGAGGCCCTCTCCAGGCTTGCTAATGGCCACTCCCTCCCACAGCCTGATGTTCACCAAGGTGAAGCTGGAGCAGCTACTGAAAGGCCCTGAGGAAGCCCTCGTGACCTGCAGACAAATGCTGCAGCTGTGGCAGAGCCTGTATAGCTTCTCCCAGCTAGGGTGAGTGGATGTCCTTGTCCTTTGGGTTGCCAGAGGGTGGTTGCCAGGGTCGTTGTAAATTGAAGTTCAGAGTGGGAGGAAGGAAGAGAAATCATGATTGAGCACACCCGTTCCAGGTGTTGGGCTTGTTGCTTTACTTTATTATACATTATGGGATTTTATTCTCAGCCCAGTGAGGGGAGTGAAACTCAGAGACCTTACACAGTTTGCCAGAGTCACTTGCTGGTGCTCTCTAGTGCTGGGCTTGAGCCCAGGCCTTCTGAGTCCCAGCCCCTGGAGGCTGTCACTTTCCTGATTCTTATATGGAGGCTAAAGGAAGAGGAGGTGGCAGGGTCCCCACTTCTCTCCAGTCACCAGTGTCCATGTACCCTTTCTCCTGCTGTAATCTCTGGCCTGGCATCTGGGTTTGTCCCGGGCCAGCGCAGGGTACTCTTATCTGGGATGAATTTGCAGGTCTTTTCTCAAGCCCAGTGGGATGCCTGGGCTCAACCTGTGTGACCCAAAGGGAAAGGGGGCCTCATACAGGTGGCTTGGCTGCCTCTTTGTGGGCCTCTGTTCTCCAAGACCTCCCCTTCTCTGGAATTGCTAGCTGTGTCATTTCCCTAAGGCCCCAGGGGACCCTACTCTGGTGAGTGTTTGCATTTTCACAGGGACTTAGGGAGCTCAGAGGCTTTCAATTTTCCCAGAAGAACGTCTACAATGGCAAAATTTACAGGGGAGGCCCCCGGGTGATCAGGTGGGGTAAAACACCCTGGATAGGGTCAGCCCTCACTTTGCAGGCCTATGAACCTAGGAGGTTCTGGAGAAGAGCAGAACCAATGAGTGGAAGGAAGCTGCCTGAAGGAGGCTCTGGCTAAGGGACTTTTCAGAAAGGGAATGGGAGGCCACCTGGCAGCTGGGCACCCTGTGGACAAGAACCAGACCCCTATTCGAGGGGACTCACTGAGTTCAGGTGCCCTCACTCTTCTGTTCCCTGGCTGAGGCCACTGGAGCAGGTGCATAGCTGGTCCCCTTTTTGCTCCTTTTTGGATGGCTGGTTGTCATCAGTGGTCAGTCATGGTGGAGCCCCTCTGAGATGCAGCTTTGTCTACAGCACTGAAGGGCCACTTTTGCCTCCCAGGGAGCAGCAGAACTGCTGGGCTGCCAGAGCTCTTCGCTGCAGGAAGCCCCTGAACACTTCTCCTGAGCTCCCCCACGCAGGGTAGTGCAGGATTATCTGGACTGGAAGCTTGGACCCAGTACCTTCCTGGCTTTCCCAGGAGATAGGGAAGATTCTTTCCTAGACCTGAGGCCACAGATCAGAAACCAAGGCTTGGATCGAGGCCAAGGTTCAAGGCCAGAATCTACAGCCTTAAGGTCTGGCCTACCCCTCTTGCCCAGTGGCCCCCTTCCTGCTGAACCACCTGGCACACCCCCTTCCTCTGCTCTGCCTGGGCCAGGCCCACACTGCTGGTCTAGTCTAAAGTTGTAACCATGGGTAGACCCCATCCAGATGCCCCTCCTTCAAGGAGCCACTGACTGCCCAGCTCTCCTGTGGGTGTCTGCTAATTGCTTGGCCTGGACCATCTCTTCTCTTCCTCTCCCCCTCTGGCAGTGAGGTTCTACAAGATATACTGGCCTAGAGCCAGATGGCAAGTAGTCCCCCAGACAGGCTGTTTCCAGGGCCCTGGGAGAGGTCCCTTCATAGATAGGAGAGAAAGTAGGACAGGAGCCTGCATCTGTGGGTCTGCCCCGAACCAGCCCAGCACCAGCACCAGCACCTGCCCGTGCGTCTTGCTCCTCAAAGCAACCTGTGAGATGAACATGATCATGCCCATTTTCAGGATAAGAAAACTTAAGAAAGGTCAAGTAGCTTTGCCAAAGGTCACAAAGCTAAGAAGAGTGACCTGTGATTTCAACCTGGTGTCTCTGGCTCTTTTGCACCAGGCTTGGGTGCCACCTGGGAGTGGGAGGAAGGTAGCAGAGGAAGGGAGCCAGCCCTAGCCACTGTGTTTCATGGATGGTCTCCTATAGTGCCCACTGAGATGACTGGGCAGCCATAGGCCCAAACTGGGACTAGTGTGAGCTTTAATTAGTATGGCAGGGACACCCCAGACCCTGGCACTCTTTGTGGAACCATCATCTTGGCTCCTCTCTCAAAGGAAGAAGCCAGGAAGAAGCCTTCTGGCCAGGCTGGGCCTGCCTTCTCCTCTCCTCCACCTTCTGCCTCCATCCTCCTCTAACTTCCCCCCCCCCCCACAGGGTCAGGGGCTCCCTCAGCATGGGAACAGGCTGGTGGGGGCTGCATGTGCCCCAGGATAGCCACAATAGGCTTTCTGAGCTGGTGCTCTTTCCTAGCTCCTATTTTGAGACAAGAGACACCCACACACACCAGCAGTATGGGAGCTGGGGAATTGGGGGCAGGCATTATTTAATCTGCCCCCTAAGGGCCCCCATGGCTTCTCTGGAGTCCTCCCCTTTCTTTGGGAGCCAGGGTAGCTAGAGGCAGGGAGTGGCATCTGGTGCCTCCTTCTGTGGGGATAGGTTGGGGTACTTCTGGTACCCTGGAAAGACCAGGCTTTCCTTGAACACCATTGCCCAGATCCACTTTCTGCCTGGCACCCTGCTAGATGTGAGGACACCGAAAAGTAGAAAAGACCTGGCCCTGGCTGGACAGTTGCTGGCCTCACCCACTTCAGAGGAGAGCACAGACAGTGTGGGAGTGTCTCCGTTCCTCAGCCTATGTGGCCTGGACCATGCTGACCTGTCCTGCCTCTAGTGGTCTTCGTCCTTCCCAATGACTTTGGTTCTGTTCTCAGGCCTGAAGTCTCAGTGTCCCAAAGCCTGCTGGGAGTGAGGGAGTGAGGCTGCCTCATCCCTGTCAGTGCAAAACCTTACCGGGCCCTGCCCACCCTTGCCTTTCAGAGGCCTGGAAAAGGATGGCAGCCTCGGTGAGGGCTTCACAATGAAGAAACAGAGTGGCATGCACCTGACCTTGCCTGATGCCCATGATGCAGATTCTGGTAAGAGTGCGCCTGAGCAGCTCTCTGTGTGGGCCTATGGCTCTCCCAGTCTGAGAGCACTAATAGGGAGTGGCATCCACCCAGCTGGGCCAACCCATCTCTGCTCCTTGCCGGTTGCTGCCCAAGGGTCTTGGTGCTAAGAAACTATCCTGTTGCCTTTCAGGGCTGACCTTGGCTCTGGCGAAAGCTGGCTACTGGCCCTGGAGTGGGCAGTGCGCAGCTGGAGTGAACAGGGGGTGAAAGGAGGGAAGCTGGAGTTGAGAAGATAGCTGTAGAGCACAGAAACTGTTTCCCCTTAGGCTAAAGCCAGAGGCCACAGTCCACCTAATGTCCACAGCAGATCAAGTCAAATAGAAAGGAAAGGACTGAGCTGTTTACAACTCTAAGTTCAAAGCTGACTCTTTCCTGAAAAAACTCATCCTGAAACTCATGGCTTGTGAAATTCAGATGAATTCAGGAAATGCAAACTTAAACATTTTTTGATTGGGGACCTGATTAAAGTAGAACATCTTCCTTACAAACACAAGATTTAGTCAAGGGAATGAAAGTGAGCTGCAGTTAGTGGAACTGCTCTTTTTTTTTTTTTTTCACTTCTGTGGATATGAGCCAAGTTGTACCTTTGTTGTCAAGGGATAGAGTTGATTCTAGAAGGCAAACCTAGCACCTGACTTTAGAGGCACATCTCAGGGTTGCTTCGCTGCGTGTAGAGCTGCTGTCTCCAAGGAGGAGATGGAGGAATGGGGGGCAGGAGCTCCTTTGCAATTAGAGGGAAGAATTATGAACACAGTTATTAGGACTCCATGTTCACTTGTCTCATAAACTGAAATCATCTGTGGTTTGCCCTGAGGTCCCCTGAGTTTATTAGAGCCTTTATTGCCTCTGTGAGAGAGAGAGAAAGTGCTCACATTTCACCTGCATGGAATTATAAATGTCAACAGCTTACATATCCTGAACAGGGGCCCATGTCACCAAGAATGGCCACAGGAAGAGGTTTTCCAGAGGGCACAGGTCTGACTTGAAATGCTACCCAGGGGGTTTTCACAGCACTGTCCCAAATGGGATCTTTATACGTAGGAAATAGTAATACACACTTGTGAAAACAGAAAGTAAAAATAGCAAAAGGAAAAAACTCATCCATAATTTCTCCACCTAGCCCTTAATAAACAGCCTTTCCGATTTTTTTCCCAACCCCATATTTTTTTTATAAAAATGTGATCCTATTCTTTAGTAACTTGCTTTTTTTGTCTAACTGTATGTGAACATCTTTCCATATTGATTTCTGATACCCATATTTAGACATTGTTATTTTAACCACTATACCCTCACTTATTTCTAATCAGTCCCTGTTATTAGACACTAAGTAATTCCTATTATTTTCAGTGTTACAGGCAGTAGCAGAATGAGCAACTCTGCTGACATGGGGTGATTGTTTTCCTAGGGGTAGATTCCTAGTGGGATCTCTGCCTGGTTGCCCCACAGGGAGCTCCTCTCCTTAGCTTTGGGTGAGAAGATGCAGTGGGCTGTCCCTGGTGGGTCTGTGAGTTACTTTATGGCTGCCTGGCTGTGCTATCTTGCCCTGCCTTAGCGCCCTCTCCTTCCCCATGGAACTGGGCAGTTACTGTTCCTGCAGCCTACAGCGTTTGGCACCCGGCTACTGCTCAGCCTGAACCCTCTTGCTCCACAGGCTCCCGGCAAGCATCATCCATCGCAGCCTCCCGGCTGGAGGAGGCCATGTCAGAGCTGACCATGCCGTCTTCAGTCCTGAAGCAGGGCCCCATGCAGCTGTGGACCACACTGGAACAGATCTGGCTCCAGGCCGGTAAGTGTCCCTGGTCCCCATGATCCTACCTGCATGCCTGCAGCTTACTCCAACTGTCAGAGCCCTGTCTTGGGGAAGGGAGTGTATGGAGGTGACCGCTGGCAGTACTCATGGGCTACATGGTACTTATAGGAAAGGTTCCAGCTATTTCTTCTTTGCTTCAGGCAAGTCACTTAATCTATCTGGCTATGGGTTTCCTTCTCTGCCTAGTGGGGATGGTGCCTGCCTCCCACCTGGGAGAGCTTCTCTAGCAGCAGATAGACATGAGAGGGAATTTGAGGTCATGAAAGGCCACACAGATGGTCTTCTTAGTCTCACAAGCAGGCTTCAAACCCTGGAGGACTTCAGACCCTCGTGGAGAGCTCATGGAATAGCTAAAGAAGAGGTGACGTGTTGAGGCCCCAACAAAGGGAGGGTCTGGGGGCAGAATTCATTGAAGGCAGAGTGGAGTGGGTAACACTGAAGTTCTTATTCAGGTGACAGTCCCTCTTGGTACTAATTGGTGCCATTGCCACCGTGGAGTTGGAAGGTTAGTGTCTGGGAGTCAGGCTTCAGAAAGCCAGCTTGGGAGTCACACAGATCTGGGTTCTAATGCCAGATAACTCTCATGAGTCCTGATCTAAAATAAGCTGACTTGTGAAGCAGTCAGGGTGGCACATAGTAGGTGCCCAGCTAGTGGCACTTGGCTTCTGTCTTGTCCATCACAGTCGAGGTAGAGGTAGAGGTATAGGTGATCTGGGCCGGCAAACAGTTGAGTGTCCTAATGCTTAGGAGTGCCTAGGAGTGACTTGTGGGTTTGAAATTCTAACCTGAGGGTGTGTGAGAGGTGGATCAGAATGGATGAGAGAAAAAGCCAGAGGTGACAAGTGAGTGCCTGAAAGAGATAAAATGGTGGCGGCAGCAGAAGATAGACTGAGTGGAATCTTAAAAGTGCACCAGGCCTGAGCCGCCCCAGGGACACTGTGGGCCCTGGAGTGCCTCTTGGCCTGTGTTCTGATGGTCTTCCTATCTGCCTGCTCCCTGCATGGGGGTGGGGCTGTGGTCCCCAGGGGAGGTAGAGAAGAAACTGGATGAATGAGCCCTTAGCAGGACAGTGGATCTGGCCAGCCAGAGTTAGAATGTGCTTATTAGCTGAGAATCGCAGCTTCCTGCTGTGTGTTTCTCATGCATGGACACATTTGTGTTGCAGTGTGCTCTCCCTCCCCCACCCTAGGTTCTGAGTCTGGAAAAAAAAAATTAAACCAGGATTCACAACAAAGCTAGACACGGGAGCATTTTAATAACCCAAACCCAAATCCTGCTCCATATATCGTCTCAAGGGCATGAGGATCCTAGGGACGTGTGGGGGCTGTGCTTGCTCCAGAATCAGCTTATTGGGTCTTAATTAGGAAGAGGAATGTTGGAAAATCCAGAAGGATAATGAACAAGAGATTGCTCTGTCTTCTTCTGCAGAGATTCCTCTGTCTTCTTCTGAGACATGGAGCCCTAACAACTCCTGGCTGCACGGGGTGTGCAGAATGGAGCCCCAGCCCCTCAGGTGCCTGGGGTAGAAACCTGTACCCACACTGGGAGTGTCACCAACTTCAGTGATGCATCAGTAATATGGTTATCAAATTCCAGAGCTGTGGGTTACCTGTGCTGGGGCTCCCAAGGCCTTTTGATTTAATGATTTGCTTTGTTTATTACCATCAGCAAATGAAAACGTTTTTGCATGTCACAACCCTGCTTACATTTCTCAGATAATATATTGCTTGATACTAGGGATGCTAGCATGTTCTGGTAACTACAAGTAAGGCTAACAGCCTTCTTAAAGCCTATAATTAGATGTGGGAGTATGACTGTAAACACAGCCTTCAATAATTTGCACATTAGCCCTTCTTCTCTGGACATTATCCTACATATTCACTCCACAGAGGAGATCTCTGAGAAGAGAATCTGAATGCTTTCAGTGTGGCTCCAGATGAGGGCTGGGCAGTGTGGTGTTAGGAGGTAGGTTTGGGTGAACATACCAGGTCCAGAATAGCAGTAGCTTACACAAGGTAGATGCTTATTTCTTAGCCATGTAATAATTCAGAGATGACAACCTTGAATGGGATGATAGCTCTGCTGTTTCCAGGGTGTCACTCCTGTCCATGTGGTCCAGGATGACTCTGCCACATTCACACTCTAAGGCATAAGATAAACAAGGAAGAGAAGAAAGTGATGCAATGGTACATTTCAAAACTATTAAGAAAAGAGTATAATTGTGATGGATGTGTTAGTTCAATATAAGCATTTTACATTGTATATCAAATCAGTACACTGAACCCCATAAATGCATCAACGTACAAAGTTATGATTTAATAAAAACAAAACACACACACACACACACAAAAACAAGGACATACCCTGGAATTTGCACGCTTCATTTCCCCTCATGACCCATTGGCCAGAACTTGGTTATTTGACTACCCCTAACTGCAAAGGACGCTGGCAAATGACAATTCTGGGTGCTCATGTCCCCCATTAAAAATCAGGGGATCTGTCATGATAGAAGAAGAGACCAGACTGGTTCACAGCCACCACGGCCAGGAAGGGAACCTGAGAAGGTGTCCTAGCTCATTCATTCTGAGCCTGAAAGAATTCCAGGGCAGTTTGCACCATGAACTCTCTCCTCTCCCCTGGCTGCCATCTTCACCCGCAAGCATTTATTGAGCACCTGTTGAATGAGGGCTGCCAGGACAGATCACAGGGCAATGACTTCTCTCCCTACCCCCACCTGACCCAGGCTAAGAATACTGTCATTAGCGTCCCCACCCCACTCACCCCTGCCTAATGACTCCACCAGCTGCAGCAAATTTACAGGAAGGAAAAAAGATGCCTTTATCATTTTGGAATGAGCTAATCCCTCTGGTTTGGTTCAAGATAAATTGCATCCCAGTCTGTTTGGCAGTAAGTTCCGACCTGAATTTACGCTTTGGTTGGGAAATGTCGTATCTTTCCTCTCCCAACTCTTGCCATCCTCCTCTCCCCTCCCCACTCCAAGCTTCTTTCCCATTCCAGTCCAACGTGAGAAGCCCACGGACTTATTCTGAATGAGTTGCGGGGTGCCTTTTGGGAAGCAGATCTGTGAGAAAGTGGGAGAGGTACTGGGTCTTAAGATGCTCCAAGATCAGGGTGTCAAGAGATGCCTTCCAGAAAAGCAAGACACCCCACACACACACACCACAGAGCGCATCTCTCTGGGAGCTGGCAGTGTGCCAGAGATGGATGTAGGGCGAGAGGGGACATGGGAAGCTCTGGGCTTTCTCTGGGTTTGGGGACACTGGCCTTAGTCTCAACTCCTGGATGCCAGGCTGTTGCAGTCTGGGCACAGGTGCCCTGGCCTGCTGGTGGAAGCTACCCCAGTTGTTAGCTGGGCAGATGAGGAAGCTGGGGTGCATGTTTATTACCAAAGCCTGGGTGAGGAGGAAGCCAGCACTTGCCCTGGTCCTGTGCGCTCCTATGCTCTTTTGTGTCCCTCTTTCCTCTCTGTCCTTTGCCCTGTCTTCTTTGCTCTCCCCTCTTTTCCCAGGTCCCCACCCTGCTCATCCCTCCTGCCTTCACTCAGTGCCTTCTTCCCATGTTTTCCTCTTCCCTTGCTCTGGCCTTTTCTTCTCTCCTCCCAGTTTCTTGAGCCAGCACAGAGGCCACGCCCAAGACAGACCCACGCAGCCTCGATTGCCTGTGCTCTCTGGGTCCTGAGCAGGAGGGTCTTGGACTTTTTGGTTTCCATTGTTGGGTTCCTGGTCTTTCTCTGTTCTAACCCCTTGGTCTCCTCTCCTCTTCCTCCCTCATCGTCTCTCCACCTTCCTTCTTTATTCTGGGTGTCCATATATCCTGAGGGTCTGCTCCATGGAGAGGGATGCTTCCTTATTTCCTTTGGGTCACCAGAACTGCCCACTGATGATGAAGGCCAGCCAAGGTGGTTTCCTTTTAGGACCTGACCTATTTCTCCTTTGCTCTGGGGCTCTGAGTCTAGAGGCTCCCTCCCTGTTCTGAGGCCTGGGGGAGGGTCTCTGTAGGAAGCATCTCCCATGGGGCTAGTCTGAGGGCAGGACCTGCCTGCCAAGGGCTGTGGAAATAGCCCTGGAGAATAGGCCCATCCCCCAGCCTGGGGAGAGGGAGAGCCTTGGGTTTGGCAGGCATGTTAGGAAGACTGGAACCAGCTCTGGGTGCAGGGTTAGACCAGGATGTCTCAGAGAAAAATAATAAAAGGGCCTCTTGCAAAGCTCCAGGGAACAGATGTTTTCCATTTGTAGCCTGCAGAGAGAAAGCACAGAGAGGAGTGGGGTGGAGAGAGAGGGAGGGAGGAGGAAGAAAACCGGAGGCATGCAGGCGAGAGAAGAGGTCAGGAGGTAGGCAGGGAGGAAGGCGAAAGCAGAGCAAGTCAGCGGGAGGAAGAGACTTAGGAACTGTAGGGACAAAGAGGGCCCCTCTGACACAGGGGTACAGCAAGGCCGTTTTGCTGGGGTGGCAACCTTGACAAATGAAAATTCAAGGAAAATCTGATGAGCACTCACCCAGCCCTGGCCACGGGAGGCCAGGATGGACGTGAGCACCACTGGGTCCTGGCAGCCAGGGCTGGGCCAGAGAAGATCAGGGCACAGTGCCGTGGGTCACTGCCATACCCACACTGTCTAGTACTCACACTGTCTGGTGAGTACCATGTTTGGTAAAGCAGTGAGCAGGAGCCCAGGGCATCTGCCCAGGGATACTGAGGCCAGGAAGAGAGGTACACTGCCTCCCCCAGACCTGTGGGCCTGTCTGCAGGTCAGAGGCCCCACCTGGGGGCTAGACCTGCAGGTGCTATCAACAAGGCAGCCAGGAGTCCCCAGGAGGCCTCAGTGCTCTGGCTGCATTCTGGGTCACAGCTTCCTGCCTAACTGGTATGAAGCACATCAGAACAGAGCAGTCGGCTCGGCGCCTATAGCTCAACCGGCTAAGGCGCCAGCCA